AAAGTGAAGTTGTCTCGGTGTGAACAATGCTTGTTAACACGGCTGGAGTTTGTAAAGACTTGCAGTTTAAGAAAATAACTTGGGATTTTTTATGTGTCGGGTGGGCGGGTAATTTAGCAGCATTTTGCCACAGCATTTTGTGATGCTATTACGGTGATGCAGCTGTGAGAGGGGTTTTTTTTTGTGATAAATGCACATAGCATTTTCAGGAATGAATGAGCGCCGCACCATCATTAAAACTCACACCCACAGCTCATTTCTCTGGAGTCAACAGATTTTCTCAGAATCACAGCATAGTGAGAAATTACAATGTTGAATAACAATATCGGGGGGAATTTAGAAAGCAGAGACTCATTCTGAGTGTAGCTCACCTCTGCGTGATTGACAACGTCTGAATGATTGGCACCGCGCTCAGCCACACACATCAGTCACATAATTATTTGCTGAAACAGCACAGAGCGGATGGTTAAAGGTGACTGTCAGTCACTTGAAGCTAGAAAAAAATAGCTTCATGCCAAAGCTGTTCATTTTATTTTATTTTAGCCTGTAAGTAATGCAGCACTCATTTCTACGGTATAAAAATATGGATGAATAAATTTAACCTTGGCATTATGCCTGAGCTGAACTAATGATATATGGGAGCATATGTGCCCAGTGGAACCCAGAACCTGAAGTGGATGATGCGTTGAAGCCGATGTAAATTTGTCACAATGCTTTTGATTTAATGTTCTGCTGTCTGACTGAAATATTTCGGCTACATTTGGATCTTAATGGTGGAGATGGTTTTGACAAATGCAGAACTGCATCTCTTAGTACTTCATTCGCTTTTTCAAAAGCCTTCAGACATAACACAAAATTACTGTAAATTACACTGCAATTTGCAACGTTATTAGGTTCATGTAAAAAAATAAAACAAAATTTAAATAAAAAATGCATAAACTCTAATTGAGACATGCAACACTGCGTGCCTATTTTCATTCTTTGATGACTAAAGCCCAGGTGAGGAAAGGAGGCAAGCGAGGCAGAATACAGCACATTTAGTAATATTGTGTTCCACCGTCCCATAATGGTGTTATTTTTTTCCTTTCATCTTACACTACATTTCTCAACGCCACAAGTCATTTGTTTCCTCTTGGATGCAATGATTGCTGGATGTCCTGACATGTCTGAAGCAGATTGCCAGCGATGGATCAGGCATGCAAATAGATCCTTTCCTCAAGGTGTTTTGCAAAGGGGCACTTAAGATGTGGAGACGATGAGAGATTTTGGTCAAAAAGAGAAATGTCTGAACAGTTTTAAAAGGAAAACGTGTGCTACTAATTTTAACAAGCTGTAAAACTACTCAACTGCTAATTGCAGTAATATTACTACTGATACCAAGTTGTGATTGGGATCTTTTTTGTAATAAATAGAAAGTACTGAATGGTAATCACTTAAATATCAGCTGCATTGTAGCAAGATGAATGCCAACCAAGTTAGAATAGATATAAATTAACAGAATAGATTGTTGAATAATTGTTGTAAATTTGTTCATCGTAGTCTCAATGAGAAATGATGCCAGTTAATTTGGTTAATATGTTAATCATATGTATTAAGTAAGATCCCTTTATTGCACATTTTGGCAGCTTAACTTTTGCCCCTCTCCAGCATGTTTTCACTAATTTTAACAACCATTCTTTGTAGCGGAAGCAGCTGGTAGGCCTTTGACACTGAAAATGTTTTCATTTTTGCTGTGGTTATTCTTCACACACTCCAAAAATAGATCTATACTTTTAAGTGAAGTTGGCAGCGTGATGTCAGTGCACCTGCAGAGGAGTCTAATGAATAGGGAGATGCACGGTAGGTGACAGTGTTTGTGTAGCAGGAAGTGGATAATGATGTCAGGAGCAGGTAGATGATTTGAGTGAGGTAAAAGAGGAGGATTGGGGGGTGGGGGGAGCAGAGGAGAAGATTGTTTCCGTAACTCTAAGCTGCCAAGTAGCCCGGTTGTAATTCACAGTGATCCTGGACGGCTGCATTTATCCTGCTTAATTACTAACCTGCAGTCATAAGATGGCTCTTTGCAGAATTAATTGTGTGCGGTGGCTGTGCGTGTTTGCGAGGACTGTTGGAGTTTAGATCTTCAGAGCTCTTTAGAGATATTTTTGGAAAGTGGGTTTCTGACACACATTTAAAGGGCTGTTTAAGGGTCATGACTTGATGTGAGGGTTCAGGCTGGAGTTAGATCTAGGTTGGGGTGAGGACTTTTATTGTGGCAATCAAGGTTCGTGTGAGGTGCTTGCATTATGTCAATGAGCGTCCTCTCAGAGATAGTATTGCAAAGTGTGTGTTTGTGGGGAATATGAGTGAGTGAGCGAATATGAATAATGAGGCTTAAGTGGACTGTCGTGTTGTAATGAGCTTTGTGGAGTGATGAGTGGAACTTGGTTGTTAGAGTAAGTAGTTTCATAGTCTTCAGCATGTCAGGAAGTAACAACCCTGTAAAACCTAAGCATGGGGAATTAATCAAAAAGAGATGAATCACTGGACATAAAAGTCAAAACCAGTGCCAAACTACAGCCTGTATGAGAATGCAGTATTTTCAGTTATACGTGTGTTATTTTTATAAACAGTACAGAAACAAAATCCACATTTGGTATTAAAATACCCCAAGGCCAATGAATTCTGTAAAGATTTAACAGATGATAAAACAATGGTAAACAAGATCATATTATAAATGGTAGAATTTTTTTGCAAGCTTTTATTAGGTATAAAGATGCTCTGCCATTTACAAAATAAGCACACTCTTATTCATCAGGAATGAATTTAACATTACCTGTCAGTGTCCTGTAGATGTGACTGTTTGATGAGTTTTAGTCGCAGACGGTATGCACAGGCATGGCGTCTCTGCGCCATTGTTTTATTGCCATAACTGTGCTGTGATCTTTGATTTAAATGTCATCTTTGCATCACTTTTAGATTGCTGCGCTCAGTCAGAACAGCGGAGGGTGTCTCCTCACAGTGCTTTCTCTGGTGTAGTTCTGTATAATGGTTGCCAGCTGAGAAGTGCTCTTGCCACAGTCAGCGCACTGCAGAAAACACTCACACAACAAATGCAGCGAAGCAGTTAAAGCGTGGAGAAAAAAATCCTTGTGGCCTTTCAGAACATCCTTGATGGTAGGCCTCTGTTTGAAGTGTTCGTGAAATTTCTCGCCTCTTGCGTGCATTTTTTTTTTTTTGAATCGCTCTGCAGTTGCCGGTTTGAGTGAAAGCTTCCCACAGTGACTGTGCCGGGTTGTTTTATTTCTGAGTATCCTAGAGTGCATCTATAATTTCTCTGATGATCTAAATTAGCTCCCAGAGACAAAATAGTGGGGACTTCTGTCATGACGGTATAGGAGGTACACTCACAGTACAGCTCTGTACAGCCACAGTCTCAGTACAGCTGTGTGGCAACTTTATCTTGGATGGGACATGGGGGCTGTTTACATGTGTATAACAGCGCTTAGCAACACAATGTGGATTGTACAATGAAATATTAATTAAAGTACAACACTTGGAGCAGACAAAACAGTGATGAGGTTTCTCTTGCACAATCTGAAGAGATTTAATACCCAGTAAAGGATTTGCTTAAATATGAGGACGGGCATGGTTTCTAACTTTACAATACATGTTTTAATGACACAGCAATCACAGCTAACTCAAAGGTAAAGCATCAGTCCCAAAATGAAAACTAATTGTGGTCAAATGTCGCAACATGAAGAAAATTTTAGTGATGGCAGACGTTGCAGTTTAGGTTTTCTGCTCAGTTCATTGGCTCAGCAGTGAAGTTGGACCAGTATGAAAATGAAAAAAAAATCATTTGAACCCTGCTGTAAGTGTTTAAGAAGTGTTTGCTGTTATTTTAAGTGTATTTTGCAACTGGCAGACCTGCTAGTATGGGTTCATTGTTGCAATTCAGCAAACACTCTTACTGTTACAGTAACACCCACCCACCCACACATATTTGAAGTTGGCTGTTCATTTAGTGTTAGCCTGAAATGGTGTACTGATGATGAGTTGCCTTGGCAACTTTGGTCCTAAAATAATCACAGAATCTATTAAATTGGCATGGGGTAAGCATATTCTATCAGTGAATTAATGACTGTCTGCACAGGCTCTTTCTAAGTTCTCCTTTAATGAAGCTCTGAGTATTCAAACAATACTCAGTCTATTTTTCACTCGGCGTGAAATAAACATGTTTTGGAAATAAGCATAACTCTGTGAATGTTATGCAGCATTTTCTTAGCACATAATGGGCTTTGCTGTATAATAACGTATTCATATTACATACAAGAACAAGCCGTGGCTTGAGTCCAGCACCGTTATACCCATTTTTATGAGCCGTGATAGATTTTCCCTCCAGCAAGGAACAGAACGTTTTTGACAAATGAATAATGAAATTCAACCTACATTGTACACTGAGTTGTCCTTTTCTCACTACCAGCACTGCTCACTAACTGGTGGCCCGAGCAGTTTACCAACTGTATGCATATTTGAAAGTTTTTCTGTTTCCCACATGCATCAGTGTGTGCTTTGCAGCGCAATGATTTATGGTCTTTCCAGTGACACAATTAATGAGTTGGAAATCACTTATCTCTGTTTTTTGTTTTTTTTGTTTTTTTCTAATCCAGGTGCAGATGTTGCTAGAGGCATCTCCACCCCGTGTGCAGAATGCATAATGAAGTAGAAAAATAAACGGCGTTCTGTGTGTGTGATGATAGCAATCGTCTTTGCTGTCAATCCAGAAAGCTGACAAAGCTCCTCACAAATCAAGGGAGACAGGCAAAACATGCGTGGGAGACATATTCTTTTTGTTTCCACTAAGATAAAGCAAAACGTTAAATACAGTTAGTGTAATTTAATGTGCTCTTGATGAATATGCAGATTTCCATGTGAGTGTGCATATGCTTGGGTTTGAAAGTGAGGCTTTAAAGGGTTTTAATTGAACCATTTACATGTAACTGCTTCTCTTTCTTCAGGTGAACACAGCCATGCATGAAGCTAAGCTGGTGGAGGAGTGTGATGAGCTGGTGGAGATCATCCGCCAGAGAAAACAGGTCATCGCTGTGAAGATCAAAGAGTCCAAGGTAAAGTATTCCCCGGATGCCTTTAAACTCTTTTTTTTTTTCAGTTTCCTTCAAGCACTGTCTAGAATATTTAATGAAATTAGAAAGATGGATGGCTTCAGCAGGTTTAAATTACAGATTTTCTGTCAAAGAGGAACTGAAGAACTCTCAAAACAAAGTTAACAGAATATCTATGCATTTTTATTGTCTTAAAATATGTAGCAACCAGTCTTAGCAACTAGTTGCCTGTTTACACATCCAGAAGACATGGAGTAACTTCTTGTTGGAGTCATGTTTCTTAACCTCCTGAAAAAATGATCTACTAGTTACTTGCTATTTGCCAACTTTGTCTGTCTGCTGAGGAAGTTAGCTTCAGTTTTTTTAGTTTAGATTTTTTTTTCTCAGAAACATTCTAACTGTTGTTGGAAATGGTGCTGATGAGAGCAGAAGTAGAAACAGGCAGAGCATATAGTCTCAAACCAAAAACAACAAGCTCCATAGATCATCTGTGGGTTTGTCATTACAAACAGTCAGTGTGCCATCAGAGATAATAATTTTATTCTGTGATTATGTAAAAAAAAAAAAAAAATGCTTGTAACAGAAAGGTGTTGAATTTATTGAATTCATAGTAAATCATGGGATTCATTCTACACCAGTTCATATTTCAACCACTCACTTTGTCATTTGAGAGCCAAAATGCCCAAATTGCACCGTCCTCCAGGGTTTTACACAATAGAATGAAAATGAGCTCAGTCGTGGACAGAACATATTTACGTGGCTACTTCGTTAGCTGTGCGCTTGTTTACCCAAACACACGTCACATTGAGGCTTTAGGAGAGTTGGGAAAAAGAAAATGAGGGAAAAGAGAGAGAAAGAGCAGCAGCAGCCTCTCCCGCGTGCGGCAGCCAATCTGAACGTGTGTGGAAAGAATCTGAGATGGCAGGAAAAACTGTTTGGAACCTCCTGTTGGTGATTCAGACAGTTCAGAAAGGCCCTACTGTACAGACAGCTGTGTGTGTGTGTGTGTGTGTTTGTGTGTACACGTGATGGTGTGTATGCAGTCGGTTGTCCCCTCGTGAGCGCCGAGAGCTTCAGGACAGAGACCCTCCCAGAGGTGAAGTTTTAAGTGCTTGTGTGGAGTCCTCTGAGGCAGCGAAAGAGCTTTGTTGAAACATGAAAGATTTCCAAACTCTGAGCGCGAGGACTGAAGTAGGTGTGTGTCGGTGTGTGTGTGTGTGAGGCAGGGAAAGTGTGTCAGAGTGTGTCCGCAGTGATTGGAGACAAAGAGCAAGGCTTGTTCTCCTGAGAGTCTGAGTCTGTAAAAGGCTGTCTAGCAGAGCAGTGAAATGCAGGAGGTAAAAAAGAAAGCACGTATAAAACACCAGAGGACCACTTGAAGGGTCAAGGAAGATGAATGAAATGCACCGTGTGTAATTCACATAAATGCGGATGTGCTAAAATTGAGGGTTGCCTGAAAGAGAATGGAGGAGAGAGGCGATATCAGGGATGTTTGGTGCAGGCGCGTTGTCAGGAGGAAAACACGGCTCATTTTACACATTTGAACAAACTACTGATGCACTCTCCTGCTGAGGAGAGGAAAGTGTTCAGAAGTGACTCCGCAACAGAATAACAGGATTATACAGACTGGATGTTGGTGAGCAGAGCTGTGAAAGGTGCTCCCATTCTCTCTCTTACCTCCTCTTAACGAGCTGTGTGTCTGGAGGAGACGACTCAGCAGTCACGCGTAATCTCTCTCTGCCCAAACAAAACACACACTGTTCCCACAGCCTGATACGTACGTGTGTGTTATCATATGACTGCCTGTTTTCCAAGGCGTTCATTCTCATTGTGAAAACTATTTTAACTGCTTTAGAGTCTTGAGGATTAACAACTCAAATTACTTTTTTTACCTTCATTTTTTAAGCTTATGGCTTAGTTTATTTTTCACTGGAAAAACTGCAGAGTTAGGTATTTGTTTGAGTGCTGAGATCAACTTGTCTTTACATTGACTTGACAAATGCTTCCTATGACTGTGTGATTTATGCTGTTGCCTGTTCGAGGCAGCGCACTACCCTGACTGGCTTAAAGTGTAGTTTAGGGTAGACGGTTGTGCATACAAAGTGTTTGACTTTGGGCATTTTCAGGCTTGTAGTTTGGTTCATTTGATCCGTACTGAGAAAGAAAGTAACAAACCTGCAAAACATGAAGTCCTACAGACTAACAGTAACTCACTGGCTGGACCGATGCAAGTGAATCCACTGTTGGTTTAGTCACCTGCATCCAAACTCATGTCCGTACTCTGGTGACTGGCAGCCTGTCTTCTCTGTTATTGCTGCCCGTATACATACAGTATTTTCTCTGTTGACACAACACTCACAAAGAAAGCTTGCAAATCTATCATAGAGAGACAGAAAGTGGCTTGTATAGAAATATTCTGGGGATTTTACTGTGGAATTGGTTTTTTATCTTTGTTCGCTAAAGATACAAAAACAACAGACTGCAGTTTGAACTGCTTTTGACTGACTGATCTGGGTAAAATCCTTGAATTCACATGCTGGGATGCTTACATGCTACCAGGGTCACCAAATAATTTACAGATGACAGTTCACACAACGGCAGCTGGATTTGTTAGCAGTATGGCTTAGCTTTTGAATTTACACTAAAACTATACATTGACTATCGTGAAATATTGGGATATTGGAATGTATCTTTGTTCCATTTACAAACAAACCATTAAAAAGTAAACTTTGATCCTGAGCAAGACTAAAAATCTGGTTTTGGTTCAGTTCTAGTCCACACCATCGTTTCATAGCAAGCTTTCTCACCAATTTCTGAAAACCCCACCATGGACCAGAGTTCTTTGTAGCTGAACCGAACAAATTAGATGTGAGAATCTTTAACCATCCCCATGACCTTTCCAGAACCTTCACCAAATCGCTGTTTGGATATTTTCTTTTGACACAAACGAGATTCTTTCCTTTCCACATCAGTTCTTTCAGCAAGTTTTTCTAGAGCCTAACCCCTTAGCCAACTTTGAAGCTTACTGGTTAGATAGGATAGCAACATATACACTAAGTAGTGTGTATTCAAGTATAAGTAGTAAGTGTGCACACAAACTTAAGAAAATTGTTTAATTCATTTAGCCTTTGCCTCACTTCTAGATATTAGCAAGCTAGCTATGAAGAGTTTTTTTTTAAACAGAGTGCAGACAAAAAACCGTAAGAATGCCGTCAAAGAAGAGAGAACATTAATGTGAGAGGGTGTTTTTATGCAACAACATGGAACAGCACACGCAAGCAAACCTGAGCGTGCAGCAGACTTTTTGTTTGCTCAACAGAAATAATAGTTACTTCTTACAAAATGTAATTTGCTTTCTCCAAATTGTTGTTTTGTGCTCACGTCCTCCTTCCTGCACTGAGGTAATGTGTTCAGAGAAAACAGGTTTCATAAACCCATTGAGCCCCATGGAAGGCTGCAGAACAAATTAAAATACTGATTGGCTGGCACTACAATGTTTAAGCTATGATTAAAGACTGTTCCATTTCAGCTGTGAATGAGGCGGTCTTCACACAAGGTGAGATACTTGCGCACACGCGTACAGGCTGTGCCATATTGTCCATTATTCTGAGGGAGAGGAGTAATCATCTCTAAAATTGCTGTTTGCGGCATATGTTGCCAAATAATAACCCATCCATTAAACACATCTCGCCTCTCCTCCTCCTTGCCGTCAACAACCTGCTCAAATGTCGTTCATAGTGACAACAGATTATGGTGGACTTAGTGGAAGAGCGGCTGCGACGTCAATTGAAAACTCCATTAAGTCCCCCGCTTAGAGAGGCTTCTAAGCGCAGTGGCTTTTCCACCAGTAGAAAGCGAGTGGACATTAGATACTGTTTTGATTCTTTAAGAGCTTTCCGTGGCAAGCTCTTAACCAACTGCCACCCAGTGTTTTTTCTTTTAATTCTGTGCATATTTCAAGCCCTGCCAGCCAAAATGTGCTGTTGAAAATATAAATGAGTAATCCTCCACGTACACCGATCATTTGAAATGTTCTTTCTGCTGTTTTTTAGTGTGCAGAGATTCAAATAATTATCTGTTACTGAAATGATGGTGTTTTCAAACAGCGACGTGACCTAACTTTCCTGTTTGCCTTTTGAAATTCGCAGGCTTCCTTTAATCGTTGTTGCAGAAATGCACCTCACACTAAAGCTGGTATTTTCTTCGACAACTTACCTTTTGTTGACAGTCCCAGGGCTCACAAGCAGCCTGTGTTATGTGCTGTGAAGAGTTTCCCCAAACTAAGTTCATTTCCAGAATCAGGATATGAGCCGCAATGAAGATAAATAGATTAATTTCAAATTACCATTGAATGGCTTCCTTATGCTCACTCGGAAATGATATTACAGCACACCCACTGACAAATTAAAGTCCAAAGGGACTGCACTGCAAAAACATGTGTGTGTGTACTTGTGTTTGAACCCTGACCTGGCTGACTGCCCTTCCTTTTGAGTCACAACATCGTTATTTGCGATGAATATGAAGCTAATTAATATGAGCAAATTGTCTGTTTCCTGCTTGGATTTCTGTTTTGCACAGCTGGTTGTGCTAAAACATCTGAAACATGCACATCAAGTGCATGGAGATGTGTTTACAATGTGCTAACAAGGCTAATTCTAGTCCATTTCTGGGAATGTTTTTCTCAAGATTTTGCTCTTTAATAGACAAACATGAACTCAGACAGAATGCTGCACCTCATGCTCTGATTGTTATTATATTAGACAACAATCCGCTATGCTATTAATGTCTGCCCTCCTATTATGCAACTTGATAATAAGGTCAGTGTGGGAATGAAGAGGCCATGGGCTCACTTCAACTCTGGCCTCATGACCAGCACTCTGTCCCGTCTGCTGCATTCTTCGTGTCTTCCTGTCTCTCTGTTTTCCGGTCTGTGCATGCATCCACATCGCTGTGTCTGTGATTTCGCCTCCCGATGGAATCTACAGATTTATTGTCGAGTGTTTTCAACCATCAGAGGCAGTTTGTAAAGTAGTTGCATCTGTGGGATATTTACTGAGAGAAAGGGATGCATTTTTGGCGAGGCTTAGTATGAAATTACATCCTTATGCAGAGTTCTTCCTTTAAACAACTCCACACACAAACCGTAGCGTCCTCCGCTCGGTGTTTCCGCAAACGTAGAATAATTGATCAGCATCCAGCATATTCGGTGTCTATCCAAGATTCCCACGGAGGGTTAGTGTGTCGCTCTTCTGTAGTAGTAAAAGCTTCAGCCATGGATAGTCTTTAATATGGCAACTTTTCGGTTTCATCGAGCAGGAATCATGTCGGAGGGTGTTACTAAAACAGACTCAATATTTTGTAGCAATTTGGCAAACGCCTAATTATATTTTCTGGAAGTGTGGACATGTTTGCGGATTAGTGACAGTCTTAACGAGTAATACCTCATACTGAAATCATCGGACTACAGTTAGGATGCATTTGGATTTAGAGGGAGTTCTATTTTTCGGAATTTGTGCAGTGAAGGGAACATGAGTTGCCCTGTGCAGATAGAAGGTTATTTTCAGGCACAAAAGATGAACACAAAAGATCAATAACACCGGAGAACTACTTTTGTCTGAGTTTTGGAAGTTGGAATAAAAGAAGGTGTTGGGCTAAAAATTCCTGCATTATAGAAGAATGTGCTGGTTGCTTTTGTGAAACTTTTGCTAGACCAAATAATATTAAGTTGGTATTTTTATATGTGTTCTCATCACTAAATGAAAAACTAGTTATCGAATCGGTGAATGCATATGAATGTAAATCACATGTGTGTCATATACAACATAGCAACATGCACTGTCTTTGTGTTTCTTCCAGGTGATGAAACTGCGCAAGTTGGCTCAGCAGATTGCAAACTGCCGCCAGTGTCTGGAGCGCTCCAGTGCCCTCATCACACAGGCTGAACAGAGCTTGAAGGAGAACGACCACGCCCGCTTCCTCCAGACTGCCAGAAATGTAGCAGAAAGGTGGGTGATGTAATGTATAGACATCCACACCTCTGCACACACACATTAAGGTAGAAAAAGTAGTGTAGGTGCGATCAAAAGGTTCTGAGGCAGTGCCTATAAAAATCAAAAACCATACCTGATTTCAATTTGGCTGCCGTCACTGTCGAAGCATTCTCCTCGTGCGGCGCTCCCAGCGCTTCTGCAATGCCTGTGACATTCCCTGGAAGTCCCGTTATGTAAGCATGTCAAGCAGCATCTGCAATGGGCGCCCAATCTCCTAAACTGTGTCAAAACGGGCATCCTTCAACTTGAATTTCATTTTAGGGAAGAGGAAGAGGTCATGGGAAGCCAACTCTGGAGAGTAGGAAGCAATGATGTGGTGTTGTGGCCCAAAAAAAAATCCTGCATAACCGCAGTTGGAGCACACACCGTCAAGGTCATAACAGTAGACCTCTGCAGAAATCTACGCTATTGACCTAACGCACCTTCTCCAGTCTTGGAGGCTGTAGGTTTATCCACTGTGAAAAGTGTTGTTTCTTCTCTCAGTGGTAACCACCTCTCGTCACCAGTGATGATCCTTGACGTGAAGGTTGACTCATCCCAGCCAGTTGACTGATGCACGTGATGTTTTCTCTTCTCTGCTGCAGTTTGCTGATCATTGTGAAACTGCACCACTGCAGTCTCAGTCACTCCAGATACCTGTACTTATCCATCCACGACTGTTGGCAGTATTGGTGTTGCCAGTTTAACAACATTTCTCAGAAACGTGGTGGTAACTGTGCAGTTTTTTGGCTAAAACAGTTGTAGTCAGTAGCAAAGCTCTTTCATTGGCCATGTAGCACAGTAGCATCCACACACATGCTTCACATGCACAAAAATAGTCAAGCTAAAAGTAAAAAGTCACTTGTGGCTTCAAGCCCCACTCTTCTGACAGTAAATCCCCTATTTGTCCCATTGTACCGTGACAAGCTATGACCCCAGAAGTCTCCCACGTTCCTGTGAGATCACTTAAGTTACAACGAACTGAAAGATTAGTATGAAATGTTTGTCCCATGACACCAAAGCGTACTGCCTACCCTAGCTTTAATGCATCTCCACATCCTCCTGCTATAGTAATTCTTTTTAACAGCAGTAAATAACATGTCCTGTAGACTTATTTCACTTCAGTTTTTACATTTAAAGTCCAGACAAGAGGGGGCTTTAATCAAGTCCCTCTGGCTTTTGTCTTCTTCTTTATGTCCACTAAATGTAGTTGTGTCATCTTGCCGCCGGCTGCACAATAAAACTTATTTTTAATGTATTTGACTTTGTTTGACTTTTGAAATCAAAACCTCTGGCCTACGTGAGTTTTCTTTTATTAGATTTTTTGCCTCTGTGAAATCCAGTTGAAGGGCTGTTGGTGAAATAAGAGTTATATCAAATGTCTGTAGCTCCTGCAATCAATGTCAGGCCTCTGTTAAAAAATCATCTATCACTGAAGGGTCGGCACTGCAGTTTTTCTTCTACCTCATTCATTCCTCCCGCCTCAGGCCGCGAGCTTTTTCGCTCTGTCTCGTTTACAGACAAAGACCTTTGCAGAAATCTGCAGCTGGCGTAACATCTTTTATTCGGCTCCGGCTCCATTTTATTTCTTTTTTTCCAGCACCTGGCCGAGCACTTCTTTGACGACAGGTTTTTCTTCACTGAGGAACAAAAGTGTTAAGGACCAACGCTGCTCTGTGCGCTGCTCTGCACCGCTGTGTAACCCTGCCAGCTTACTGATGCTCAAAGCAGAAGTAGGCACAAGTTTCCACTAAGCTGTAAAGACTGTGGAATAAGTGTGTCACTGTGTGTCTGGTTTGTCTGTGTTTTGACAACACAGAGGTAGAGATTCTGTACAGGGTGGGGCGCAGACACCTTATTCGAAACTATGCATTTTTTTATGTCTTCTTTCATTACTGCTCTTCTATGTTTTCTGTCTCATACCTTTTCTCTGGTCACTGGTTATTTCTACCACTTCTCCCCTCTTGTCACCACACTTCCTCCACTTCTCACATTTGTCCACCTCTTAGTCACCTTCTCCCCTCCTTTCCGTTCATCACCTAATGTGACCTCTTCTCCCTCCTCAACACAACACATCTCTGCCCTCCTGCTGACACTTTCTCTTCTCTCCCCCATGTCCTGACCACGCAATAGGGTTGCCATGGCGACAGCCTCCTCCCAGGTACTCATCCCTGACGTCAACTTGAATGAGGCGTTCGACAACTTTGCTCTTGACTTCTCACGAGAGAAGAAGATTCTGGAAGGACTAGATTACCTAACAGGTAAGATATGCACACTGTCTGGTCTGCAATGGACATGTTGGTTATACACAGTAGATCCTGCTGTTGCCATAAAAATGCCATAACCATGTCCTTTTGGTTAATTTAATGTTTAACAGAGGAAATTGTTCTCTCTGGGACATAGTAAACAATTTTTCTTTACATGTCAAGTTCTCGTTTGTAAAAACTAGCTACTACTACCAACTAGTCTAAACATACTGTAAGTTTTAGGGAGGTACTTGAAAGTCCCTTCTTTTCTACTACATTTTAAGATGTACTTTATTTAAATTTTAGCATGGCATGTCAACTGTCTACCAATTACATCAATGCTAAATTAGGATGGTTATTTACTATGGTCATTCATACAGTTTATTTTTCGTTGTCATGTTGTTTTTTCTTTCATATGTAGCTCCTAACCCGCCATCCATAAGAGACGAGCTGTGCACCGCCTCCCACGACACCATCACTGTTCACTGGACGTCAGAGGACGAGTTCAGCGTCACCTCCTATGAGCTGCAGTACACTATCTACACTGGACAGACTAATTTCATCAGTAAGTCAAGTGCTAACACACACACATACACATGCACAGGTATGGTAAAACAGAAAATAATATCTGTACTGTAGATTACAAGCAATTAGCTGAGCCCAGGAGGAAGTTCATGTTCACATAATTTGGGATGCATTTCAGCAATAGCCAGGGCCAGTTTAATTTGATGGGGAAGTTTGAACCTGGCTGAAATACTAGGTTTGTTTTAGAAAGTAGAAGGGTTGTAGTTCCACAATTTTAATACACAGTAGTGTGTGACGCCAATATTATGTGACTAAAACTTCCTCAAGGCCACTAACATATAGGCCTTTAACAAACTTTGTCAAATGTAAACTCAGCAACCCTTTAAGCCATTTCAAGCTGAGTTCTTCACAGTTTACGTATGTGCAGAAACTTGGGAGAAGGCGGTTTTATCTGTAGTGTTCACCAAAATAAGAATTCCCACACACTCATGCCCAAAAGAAGCCCAAAGAAACACACTATCCTCACTGACCTCTCTGCAGTGACAAAGAAAAATAAAGCACCACAATACTTGTAATATTCCTGTCTTATTTTCACATATTAAATATTTTATACAAACCGTGTTGCATAACCTAGATTTTCTGTCCAGCTTTATTCTTTGTTGTCCTCAGCGCTCGTATTTATAGAGAAACTGAGCAGAGTTATCAAGACTACTCATTATAGAAATGGGACATACAGTGCATATTGTGGAGATTCATCAGATAGATTCACCGTTTTGGATCAGATTCTTGTCTAAACAGTATGAAAACTCTGCAGAGACATGGAGGGGAAAAAAAGGAGAATATAAATTCACAGCTGCCCTCCAAACCATCCCATTTATCTCTCTACCGTGGCTATTTCATTTTTGTTTCAAGGCTGTAAAAAAATACTGTGATTTTTATTGGGGATATTTTTCTACAAGCTGATCAAAGTCTGTCAAATCTGACAAGACTTAATCTGGCTAAACGTGACCATGATAAAAGTGTTTCGCTCGGTGCTTTTCTTGTTATATATGTAATTAGCAGAGGTGTACCGTGCTGAGCTGCAGTCATGTTGTAGATGTTTTTTTAGGAGCAAATGGTTAGTTTTCAGAGCAGATTTCAGATCCAATATAACCTACATGTGGCTGTATATGCAGATTAGTACGTTAGCTGTTTTACATTCCTTGTATATACATACCACCAGAGTAGCTGAATTGATATTTGTCTTCGACTCTTTTCCATATTTAGTATGTTAGATGAGAAAGAACCGTATCGTTTCCAGTAACTGGTTGACACACTCACAATGCAATTTAAACATACACACATGCGCAATATTCTTGAGCAGAATTGTGTGTATTCGCAAGCTATCTGGTTTTTCAACCAGCACCGTAGCTGATTGGCTATCACTATGTAAATGAAGGGGGGAAGAAAGACCACTGTGGAGGAGGAGACAAACAGGGGAAAAGGTGAAAAATCAGAGTGGATAATGGGGACATAGGGGTGGTGAGATTACCACTTACGGATATGAGGAGGATGTGATTAATGTACATAATCGTGCACATTCAAGCTTGTACCCACACACACACACACACACACACACACACACACACACACACACACACATAGGACACCTGTGACTCTACTCTTTTCGTCCCCCTCTTTGATCCTTTCATCATCTCCTCTTCTCTCCTCTGTGTAGCCTGACATTTCTCCATCTAACCATGCAACTCAAGTGCCCGAGCCATTTGAAACATCAGGATACATTACAGCTATGATAGACTGAGTGACTCAGATATTCAGCACTGAGCTGCCACAGAGTCCTCAGAGATTCATAGGAGAAACTGAGAAAGAGAGAAACCCATTTAGCTTGCCATGCCACTTGAGTTTTTACCATAGTATTTTTCTCTAACTTTCCAAGTGGCTAAATGCTCCCACTTGAGTGCCGTCCCTGTCTCTCTCTTCGTTTCTCGCCTGGCCACATCCTTAGTCTCGGCCCTCTCAGGGGGAATAGAAGTGGGGTTGTGGGGTCTTGCGAACTCTGCCTTTGCAGCATCATCCAAGCAAAACAGCAGAAAAATAGAATCAGCAAGTGAAACCAAATACCATGAAGAAATGTGAGGTGTGTCACGGATCCAAAATTGGCTGCAAGTAAAGTTGCCTTGTACTGTAACTGTGTAGCTGCCATCTGTGGCTCGTGAAAGGTGCAGATATATAATGTAACTGATCCATTTGTTATGTGCCAAGTAAAATCCTGGATTATCCAGTTATATGTTCACATGTTTATAAATATTTGTTTCTCATCTTACTTCCTAACCAGATGTTACACTGACTTTGTATTCCACAAGTCAACTGTTGTTTTATGATGTTGATGCCAGTGACACTTTCTTGTTGGTTCACACTCTTTTGAAGTTGTTAACACTAGCTTAAACACCTTTTTATATATATTCTTGTTAATTAAATCACACATCCTAATCATTTTTAACAGTTGCACAAAGAGGTAATGATGTGCCTCCAATTATAAGTCGGTTTTTGCTGATCCAGATTTAATTTAATGCTTGATTTGAAGCATTTACAGCATTTTTTTCAATCTAATTCTTCTATTTTTCACTTTTTGGTGGTGCGAATATGTATATAGTCAAAATATGTGACCCATCTGCACAAAATCAGTTGTGCCTTGGGCTATATCCGAGATACAGCCTGAATTACATTAACACATGATAAAATATTGATTTGGGGTTTATTACTTAGATCGGTCCATTGAGTTGTTTTCTACATGTAGGTAACATAATCGCTGTCAAATACCATCAGCGTGCATGAGCGGTAACACCAGACAGAAGCCGCGGAAATCACTTGTGCGCCCCGTGCGCCACGAGCAATGTGTCATTGCCAGCCAATCCTGTCCCGTGATTTGCGTCATGTGGTAGCAACATGTCGCTTTTGTTTATGCATAATAGCCCAAGGCACAATGGGACTGATTTCGTGCAGATGGGTCACGTATATAAAATTTAAAGGATTAGCAGTTACTGACGACAAAAGCAAGACTCCAGGAAGCCACTGGACCCATCCAAGAAGTAGTCAAGCAAATGACCCTGAAACATATCTGCACTTCCAACTTGTCACATACACATGGTGCAATAAGGTCCTGCACTTTTAGCATCAGGTTTCAATGTGCAGGGAGTTGTTGAAGATCAAACAGGGGACTTAAATCAAGGAGTCCAGAGTACATGTCCTGTGTCGGATCATTATTTTAACTTCCAGTCAGTTTGGTTATGTTCAGGCAGCTACACTACCCTGCTGGTTAGGTTTTGGGAAAGACTGGGTTAAAATAAACCTTTTCAGAACATGAACTACATGTTAGATAGCAAAGTTGTCCCATCTGAAAAAAAGCAGAGAAGACTTGTCATCAGTCTTGTAGCATCTGTTTGAGACACTGATTAAGTTCTATAGATATCAGATTACCCAGCATGTTGAAAAATGACGCTAAAGTTGTACCCAGTACATTTAAATGTGATGCCAAAGGGGTGCTGACAATTCAGCCGCATGTGACAAGTTGGACATGACACCACCCTGAACCCCCATTGTCATGTTGTTTTCACACGTGTAGCTGTTCGATTTAAATCTGTTTTTAGAGGTGCCAGTATGTAGACTTGTTAGCTTTGGACACAGCAGGAGAGTTTTTAGGTGTCACCAGTTCCTTACACATCAGCATTTCTGCACTGCTCAGCTCAACAGACTGCACTGTATCTCTATCTGGACTAATAGAACACTTTACCGCTGCTTCCTCCTTCACATGACAACCTTTTTTTTTTTTTTAAAGTTTCTATTGCTGAAGTGGCGATATCTGCCTGCTGTCTCGTCCTGCCACCCGCCTTTAATGTGTACTCCTAAACACTGGCCTGTGGTGAAGAATTAACATGATTATCGCAGGTGAAAGGCAGGATCGCAGTGGGCGTTAGGTTTGGCCCAGAGGTTGGTAAAAATCTCTCTCTGTGCATCTCGACAGGGAATTTATAACAGCATCAGCAGGATCAATCTTAGACGTGGTGTGGGATGAACTGACGATGAGATCTCAGTCGCTGCAGACGACCAGTCAGACAAGAGGCACACACACACACACACACTCTGTTCCTCCATAACAAATGAATGGAGTAATATTAATACACACATGCATGCGCGCAGACAGCCACACATACACACACTGTCACCATTAACGCTATATTGCATCATCAAAGACAAACCCTCTTCCATTCCCAGGATACTTTGTGTTGCTGTTCCCTTCTCATCTGTCCGCTTCTGACACACACAGACACACACTAACGGCACATGTGCACACACAAACACACACTTGATGTCTGGATGCACAACACAAGCTGATCTATTTCCTCTCCGTTTCCCCGTTTCTTTCTCTTTCTCAATAGCACATTCACTTACTCCCCCACCGCACTTTGAAGTCACAATGCTCTCCAAAGCAGCGCAGCTTGTGTCAGAAAGCCCCTTTTTCGGTGGCAAAGTAGGAATAGCATATTGCTGTGTACTGACCTAATTTGATTTAGCAAGAATGGAGAGGTGCTACGAAGATCAAAAGCTTTAAAAGTGGAAAGCAGCATGAAGCCCTTCTCCTTCATCTTTCCCTGTATCTCCTTTTTTCGAAAGCCCACGTAACATTGTAGCCTCCTTAATTTCTACAGGATGCAGCTAAAACGACAGGTGGGTGGCATAAATTTCAAACAGCAAGGGACAGCTGTCACAGTAGAACAACAGTCTTGCTTTTTTTTTTTTTTTTTTTGTGAAGGAAAATGGTGATAGGATTTCATTGTTGACGGAGCCTGTGTATTTTATAAGTCCAGGCTTAGATAAAGACCATTTGCATACAAAGTGGATCGTGTATGCAAGTTGTAAAGACGGTTCTGTCAGACTTACTCACTTTTCCTTCCTTTCTTATCTCGAATGGCGACGAAACCCCCTTCGTGTGTTTTTGTTGTGTAAAAATGTAGCCCTCACTCCAACTTTAAGAGTCCCCTCCCCTCATTCATTCTTAAAGCCGCCTCACTTTTAAAGGCCTTATTTGCGTCCTGTGAAGTATTTATATTTACAAGCAGACTCTCTGCTATTACTTATGCATGCTGTTACCATCTTGCTCAATAATTCACAACGCATCCTCACCAGAAGGGACAAGGTAAGCATGGCCCTGAGAGCTCTCTCTCCCTTTCAGGGTTTTCATTTCCCTGCAATTCTGCAGGGAAGCAGAGCGATGAGACAACGTTAGGCATTGTTATTCTACTTTCAAGTCTGCAAACATTAACCTCAGCTGTAGTGCTACTAAACAAGATGCTTTGTTTGTTTTGCCAAGGCTTTATTTGAATGCGTTCCGAATTTTTTCAGTGTAGCCATCATTGGATGTTTCAGGAGAGCTGGCTCTGAAATATTTGCTTATAAAACACAGTTTCTGTCTGGTTTCCAGCTGACGCATTATGGCGCTATTACTCATACTGTTAGTGAAGCTAAAGACGTAACTATTAGTGTTATTAATGACTCATTAATAATCATCTGTGCTCTTAAACAAATTATTGCATTTTTATGGTTAGAGACACTCAGTAGTCTCCTGCTAAGAATTATTGATCCGTCTCTTCAGCTGTCCGGATGCTAATTCATTCCGTGCAAAAGCCAGCATGGCACTTACAGTGAAAGATTTCACACCATGTTTGTTATTTCACACATCAAGCGAAAGTGCAGTAGCACCAAACTTAGCTCATCTTGCAGCATCTGTTTCAAATAAACAGCAGTCCTCCCCACAGCCTTCCACAATAACTCTTCCGTCTTCAATGCAAACGTCTCACCATGTGTTGACTGTGGAGTTCTTCAGCTTAAAAAAAATCAGAAAACTTTGCTTCATCAAAACACATGTGGTGATGGAGTAGTGGGTCAGGTAAAGTGCATATAGCAGCATTGGTAATGTGTAAATTCATTCCTATTATTTCACACAACAATGGTGGCCTCGGCCCTGAGCTCGGATTTCCTTTTATGCTTCACAGTCAGCTACATTTCTCAGACTGTGTTAAGAAGCAGGTGACTGCAGAGCGAGCCCGGCATTACTAACCCTTCTCTGCAAGCTGCTTTGAACTGAATCCCCCACTAACTGGGGTCATGTTGGTATTGCCCATGTTTCCATACATTTGAACATTAAAGGCGATCACAGTCTTTCGCCCCGGGGCGCTCACTTCAGAGGTTTCTTGTCATATTGCGAGTACCTTGTTGGTAATGGCTTATAGTTTCAGCTTAGTGAACACACAATATTGCCTCAGGGGAGCCTGTCATGATAAACCTGATGGGAAGGTAATGGGATGGATCAGTATGTACACATAAATGTTGCATAACATCGAGAGCCGCGTGGTCTCTGAGCTTCTTATTGTGTGATGACTCACTTGAGGTTGCAAGAAAAAAATAACGCTCTGCTCTGGTCGGATTTGGGGAAGAATTTTTTATTTCTTTTTTCCTCTTTTGAACATTACTAAAGGAAGAAAAAAAAAAAAGACTCTCAGCAGGACTCACTGTTGCTCTGCTTACCCTGAAAGCATCGACAGAACCTTGTTACTCATGCTATGTGTGTGTGTGTGTGTGTGTGTGTTTGTGTGCCTCTGCCAGGTTTGTACAACTCTGCAGACAGCTGGATGATCGTACCTAACATCAAGCAGAACCACTACACGGTGCACGGCTTGCAGAGTGGCACCCGTTACATCTTCTTTGTCAAGGCTATCAACCAGGCAGGAAGCCGCAACAGTGAGCCGGCCCGCCTCAAAACCAACAGTAAGTGAAAGCATATGTGACATCTGCCGGCTTTTCTATGAATATTTACAAGCCTTGTTAATTTTGTTTTTTGATATTTAATACAACGCTGAAAGTTTTCTTCTGTCTGTATCAGTTGTGCAACACAACTGACAGACCGGCTACTCAAAGCTTTTCCCAGAGGGTTGTCTTTCATTTATTAATGAGATATATGGGGCAGATTTAGAACTAATTTAGATTAGATTCTGATTAGTAGTCATAAGATTTATGCATTGCTTTTGGTTTGTAATTTGTTACATTGTCTGTCCAGAAGTTGTGTGTGAAAGGAGGAACCTGCGACAGCGCCGGTAGTTCTTGCAATATTTCTGGCACAAACCTTCAGAAACATTTCATAAGAGCTTCGCTGAATAATTTTAGTCTAAGAGCAATTTTTTGAAAAGAATCATATTGTACCATTTCTTTTCAGTTAAGTTCTTAGAAGGTGGTTGTCAGCGTCGTCTGATGTATAGAATCGGGAAGCTGCCGATTTCACAGCTGCATCTTAAAGGATGAAAACAGTCTCGTCAAAGACTTAAACAGCTCTTGAGCAGATATTGTGTGTTACTGTCGTTGTATTTGTGGTATTTAAGAAAGCAGCAGTGTTACCTTTTTGAGTTAGAGGTGTTATAAAGAAAAGATTTGCCACTTAAAGAACCCTTAATACAAATGTATGGAAGATTTTTGTAACACAGAAGATGGCAAATATATGACACACCTCCCCTTAAACAGCCAAATGGAATTTGACTTTTTAACAGTCGAATTGCAAAACATAAGGCCAACCTCACAATGCTTTAAACCTGGTATGGCTTTAATTTGTGGGGGAAAACACTTTTAACGCTTTTTTGGGGGCAAAATCACAAAACGATTTAAGTGAGGGTTTTTGGTTTTTTTTAATCAGATTTGACTGATGATTCTATACCTGCAGTTTTTATATTCCGATGATCATTTTAATTGCAGTTATGGCTCTCTGTCCATTGATTCAAACAGGAACCTGGCCTTGTTGGCTCAAAGTAACTGCCTGGGAGTGGTACAAAATGGGTGCTAAGTGGCAAGACCTGCTTTTATGGACTTTGATTATATGTCACAGGACTTGTGTTTGTACATAGTAGATTCAGTTTTATGATAAATGTGACTTTTTTTACACCTTCCAGTAAAAAAAAAGATTATAATTGACATTATGAAAACAACATACCAAGTGTAGATATTGGGGTTAAGACACCATAGTGTTTTTTATAGTGTGATTTTTACCTGATTCATTTACATGATAGGGAGTATAACCCCAAAAAATATATATATATGTATATATTAAATACTACTATAGTACATACAGTATTAAGGCTGAGACCCTCCAGTGTGAATAATTATGGAGAATAACCTAACTAACTTTTTACCGACTGTACTTTGTGATAATCCGCGCTTTAACCCTAATCCCTTAACCTTAAGGCCTCATGTTAAATGTACTTTTTTAGGTCTTTTTACATTTACAAATGATGTCTTCCTGCTGCTAGCAGCACAGACTGGTAGCGAAACCTTTATCAAGTTATGTGTGGTTTGTCTCACATGGTTAATTTAAGATGTGCTGGTAGCAAAGTTCAGTACACAGTGTGTAAGAGAGCTTGTCTCTACTTATTTTGCTCTCTTACACACCTGTCAGATTACAGTGAGTTCTGCAGCAGCTTCACTTTTACTCGTACCCCTGCAGATGTTGCAGGGATTAAACCTGCAGCACACCAAACACCAGCACCTCTGTCGCTTGTCTTTCAGAAAACTGCAGGCTGTTTGCCCCCTTTTATCACTTGCTGCTTTTTTTGCTGTTTGTTTTGTTTTTGCTCCCTCTTTTTGTGAATACTCCCCTACTTCTTGTTTCTCAGTGAATCCCTACACACTGGGGAAGCTGTCTTTTTGGCATCTTCTCTTCTTGGTTGTAGTCATAAGGTTCCTGGCACAAACAAAGAAGTTGTTTTGTGGTGTAAGTCAATTAAATTTTTCTTTTTCACAGAATATGTTTAATCGTTATCCTCTCTACCTGCCTCTTTTTGTTTCTTTCATCCCTGTCTTTTCCCTAAATTTGGATTTTCTGCTGCACAATCTTGTCCTAGCCTTGAACTCTGTGTTTTCTTTGATATGCTTCTCCTTCTGAGCAGTACACAGTAAATACTAAAGGAAATAAACTAGATGAAGTAAAGGTGTACTAAATGTGACCAAATAAGCAAATTAATTGCATAAAATCAATGATGCTGTTTGGTGCGTGTTAGGTTAGAGGAGCTCCAAAAAAACATACTGTAAAAATACAAAAAAAAAAGTCCCCAGTGTAACAGATAATTTTAAAAAGCTGCTAAATATGCACGTTAAAAGAGCAAAAGGGAAACAATACGACTGGACACATCACACACAGTCTACTTTGTGGAAATATTCTCTGGGCTCAGCTGTGGCACATAATGAGTTAAAACCTTAGCGATATAGCTAATTTAGGATGTGCCCCAAGGGGGCTCAATAAAATTTTTAAATCAGTCTTAAATTGCTGCAGTAGTGCAGTGGAGCTAAAATGGAGTTGATATGCCAACTCCTCTTAGCTTCTGTCAGGAGTCTGACTGTGGCATTTAGGATTAACTGTAATCTGGATACACTCAGCGGGGTAAAATAGGTGTGTGGGGAACTGTCATAGTCGAGGGATGATCTCTCTCTGGTTCTCACTCAGTGCTTGTTCGCACATCTTATGGGGGACAAGGGGAGAGACCGAGCGAGGCGTTGGACCAACAGGGGGCCCACGTATGCTTACAGTTTAGCATACATTTGATTTTAAAAATCTTATGTGTTGGTCTTTGTAAATATTCAGTCATCACCATCTATAAAAATTAAAACTGTAAAAAATCAAATTCAAGTCAAAAGATAAGGCACAAAAACAAATACAACTAACAAACTAACTGCTGTTTAATAGATATTAACTGCTATAAAGCGAATTTAATCATTTATCCGACATTTGAACCAACTGTTGTCTGAACAGATACAGTACTAGATGAATTTAAAAAAATGCATTTTTTCAGTATACGACACAAAAAGCAGGACTTTCGTAATGCATCAGCTACTTGTGGCAGATTGTTCTGAGTTGCTCAAAGTGGTTGTAATCAATACTATTTAATTATGACAACAGTGTACCAAATGCTAATCTGAAAATAGTGTGACAACATGAAAGGAGTTACTCATAGTGACAATCATCACTAAATATCACTCAAACCTGCAGCTCCTTTCCGCTTAGTGACTAGCTGGCTACACACATTTAGCACCTGAAGATCCAGATGTTTCCCCTTTGAGTTGGTAGAAGTAAAAAAACAGAGCTAAATAATACGTGTACATTCACCAGACTTAACATATAGCTACTGTGATAATGTTGCTCTGTAGTTGACGGATGTGTAGCTTTACAACATATGTGGTAACAAGGTTGACATATCAGTGAAAAGTTGCATGTTTGTGTTGTGTTCAAAGCTTGAGTCTGCTCCCCTCATGTGGACAAAAAGTCAGTGGTTGCAGGTTTATAAGACAGGCCTGATGTGCTTTATGCTGCATTTGTTAAAACTTGATTCAACATTAGGACCTGCTGTTGTTGATGTTAGTCTGTTAAAGAATCAGTTTAGTAAAGTATGAAATCTGCAGAGTTCTTTCCTTAAATAACTTAAAGCAGAATGGAGGTCCAAGCTAATAGGACACACAGGCACAGTTTACGTTTTGTTACTTTTTTGTTCATTTCATCAGTTTAGTGTATTTTTACAGTTATTGCTGATAGGGGGCCTGTAGAAAGTGCTACCCCCTCTCCAGCAGTACACCTGTTCTTCCTCTGTACATGATGCTGCCATCTGGTACTTTGAAGTGAACGCTTCGCCCATTTACTATTGCCAGGACCCACTTTTGTTGGGTTTTATTTCTCCATTCAGTGTGATTGAATTGAGCTTTATTGGCAGGACATAAACGAAAATTGTGCTGCCAAAGATGATTATAGAGAGTTTAAAGAAATTGCATTGTTTCTTTTTCTTTTTTTTTTCTTTTACACTTCAAATACAGCAATGAATGTGTAAAATGTAGTAGTAGTATAGACGTGCAAGCGTGAAATTAATTACTGATAACATGCATAAGCACATCTGACGAGTACGTAGTCTGACTTTTTCTGAAAGCTCTGCTACATTTCCCTTTAATCAAGGATGATTTCTTTCATTTTACACTTTGCTTAATTGGTGGAACATAGAAATTGGCTCAAACGTGGAAAAAAATGAACAAAAAAAGCATAATGAAAGAAATATGGTGAACATATGTTAGCAAGCTATGACATTAAAAATGGCATAGCTTGTGAAACCTATCTTGTTAAGTGTTGATAAAGTCTAATTATACCAATAAATTGATGTCATAAACTCCATATATGTTTAATTTATACATATACACTGAAACATATGAACAGAGAGCCAAATACTGACAAAAAAAATAGCAGGAACAACTTGCCCAATGAAACCATTTAAGTTTGCCAGTACTAAATAGTAAAGTACACTGTTGGTACATATATATACATATGTAGTAGTAGATTGTCCAGTACTCGTGTGATACAACGCTGAAGGAGAATGCTCACTCTCTCTCACTCTGTCATCACTCCTCCTCTGGCAGCCTGAGCTATCGGGGGGGAGAAAAAACTTGTCCACCCACAGCCAACAATGGTTGAGATTTTGCCTGTGATTGGCAACCAGCATTTCTCTCCTCTGTAATGGTTTAGACAAGCCATCAAAATAACACACACACACACAAAAAAAAAGAAAAACGCTCAATATTTTTATCCCCGATTGAGGTTTTGTGGTTTTCATTATGGCACCTGCACCTTGTGTGTTTGTCAGACTCTTCTCATGTCTTTGTCTCTCATTCTTTCCCTCATCTCTTCTCTCCCACTCTTTCCTCCCTCTTTTTTTGTCAGAGGAATTTGGTATTCAGATTAAAGCGCCTCGCTC